CTTAGGGGTACTGAGGGTTTTCGTCTGAAGTTTTCAAAAAGTTGTTTGAAAAAAAAATAATAAAGATCGTTGACCAAATTTTATGAAGAATCTTAATAACGTAAAATGTTAATATGCTTTCTGTATCAACCACGTAATATATCTTTTGATTAGCTTAGGGTTTAAGTGTACAAGATTGTTTGTCTTTTAATCTGAATTAAATTATGATAAATGTTTTTATAGAGGAACTATGTATAGAAGTTTAAGCAATCTTTGTTTACAGCTACTGGGTATCCTAAATAAAACAGGAGCAGTTATTAGTTTGCGTTACATTGGTGGTTATGATAGCCTTTTTAAATGTGGAAATCTGCGAAAATCATATAGTTTTAAAATGTTTCCTGTAAGAATTAGGGAGACAAATAGGTCGCACATATTTTTCCCACAATATTTGATATATTATTTTTTAATAAATCACAGAGTGTTTTGACAGTTTGGGGGGAGGGGGGGGGCGAAGCGTGGGAAGTGAGCGGAAGTGTCATTACGTGCACTGCATGGACCTACAATTAGAGTCAAGGTCACTTGACCTGCTTGTGTGAGCAGACAACGATACAGTCACGCCCTGGTGTGAGAGTGCCGCCACTAAAGTAATGAGGCAATTACAATGTCAACCTCGAGCTGAGATAAAACAATCAACAAATGAACTGAAGAAATGTTTTAGTGGACTTAAGAGAGAAGTTCAATGATTTGATCCTAGACTAAATTAATTGAATGAAGCAGTTAATCTTACTATACTGTGTTCAGTATAGTAAGATTTTATTGTAGTTTTTTTTTGTTTTAGGAAAATTGGGTTCATTATAATAAATTTATTTGTAATAAAAAAAAACTTGTGGATATAAAGATTTGGGTAGTCACCGCTGAGAGGTCAAAACAGTGACGACGTGAAAGGTGATCGTTGTATGTGTTGTATCAAGCGTGCTCCATGTCCAGTACCTCAAAATATGTTTTCTTGGACCCAGCCTCCTCATCCTAGGACGTTAGGCTTGATCCCAGTACCGTTTGTACATTACTTCTAGGCTTGGAGCGTCACGGCGTCATCACATAGATAAAATTGATTGTGATCTTACCATTACAATCTACAATCAAACACTCTCATCATTGCTGTTTACTGGGGAGGATTTCTACAGCGCAAGTCCTCCCTATGAGCTTGAATCCGGAGATTTACTTCAGCTGTGAGATAGGTCAAGCAGATACAAGCTACGTATAGCCCTTTTTGCACAAAAATCTGTCTTTGCAAAAGCTAAAGAGCAGCAACACCACGTTTTAAATTAGGGCTCTCACAACAATGTAATTACAATAAAATATTGTGGATGTTGTTTTTCAAGACGATAGCTTTCAAATATTTTTGTGTAGCCTTATAGTAATCTAACAATATTAAAAACCGGCATTTATTTTTCAACAATAAGTCTTCATGTGAAACAGAGACCGGGATGTCACCAAACCATGGTGAAGGTGTGTATTTTGGTGTGTAAATATGAGTGTAGAATGGAATGAGAAACCTTTCGAAGTTGTTACAGACTAAGAGCCACGACAGCTTGGGTCCAATTTCGAACAAAAAAGCCCCTAACTTATCTCAGGATCATACGGGCGACCTGAGCACTTTAACCACTCAGCTACAGTGTACACATTTATCGTTACACGTTAACTCTTTTTGAGCAATATCCCCACACACGAATGACATTTAATAAGGACACGCTCTTAATACAGACCGCTCCCTCACTAAATATATTAAAAACCTTATCAGGTGTGGAAATCCTATTAAATTATACTAGCTGTTACCCACGGGCTTCACCCCGTTTGACTTCATTAGTATTAATAAAACTATTGATTGGTTAAGTTAAGCTGAAATAAACAAAACAGAATACAGTAATACAAACAAATAATCAAACCTGATTTTAATAAGGTAAATAAATTGAAAGAATAACAAACAAATTGGTGCAGCTGGGGTATTTTTAGCATTAGGTATATGGAAAGTTCTCTTTAGAAATGAATTACGACCTTAAAGGGCCATAAAATAATGGATAGTTTTACGCAAGGTTTCTTGTCATGATGAACTATTTAAGTATATGGTTTATGGGGTTGTGACTTGTTTGTTAGTTTTCTCAAAAGTTCATGGGTACTTTGGGATTTATATATGGATGTGCTAAAATTACTTATTTAATTCAATTTATCTTATATAATTCTTAAAAATAACTCTTAGTCCGGTCGCAATCCCATTATAAATAACTGCAGTACAACTGCGACACAATATCCCAAAGCCAATACAATCAAGCCGTAAATTTAGACGTTATAACGCCTGCACAAGAGTTATGGAACGCCGACAGGTTTGACAGTGCAGGAGACACGGAGCTTTTCGTTTAGTCACTTTCTTGTATCACCTGCACATTTTCATCCTGGTTCTGTTAAGCGTTGATAATAGTTTGATTACCTAAAGAAAAATTGTAATTCATATCTGTTATATAACGTGTACAATTTAGTTGTTTTTCATGCATAAAGTACGGCAAGATGTTATAAGTTGAAACGTTACGTAGAAGTATTTTTTTATCAACGATTTAGTTAACCTCTCGATGATTACACTAAAGCGAAAGAGTTTCAATTGTCGAGCAAGAGGTGAGCAGGAGGATTTACCGATGTGCTCAGTAGATATTATCATTATTTACTGGACGCGATCCCGCCCTCTCAGAGAGCTATGAAGGAAATTACTTTTTAAGGAAACTGGCTTATTCTAATATTACCTTTTCCACCATCGATTTGTTCTAATTTAGTTTACAGCTGCTCGTACACACTACAGTTATATTAATAGCGTATGAAAGTCTTAAATTACAGATTTTTAGTTCTCATTGGCAATAAATAGAACTATTTGTAAATGGCCGGCATTTATTTTGACCAAAGAGTTTTGACTATTCATTTAAAATGTACCCTAAGGTACTATTTAAGGTCCTAACCATTGACTAGCAGAAGATCCAAACAGTAATTTTGGTATACATTCAAATTTTCAGATATCTTTGTAAGTCATGCTTGGTTTTATGGCACCCTGTGGAAAGTCCATATTTATATGCACTTCTTTTATCCGGATATTCTCAAGTAATTGAGATTAAAGAAAATGTCAAGTTGTTTGTTACTAGGATATCTTTGGATGATTGTTCGTTTAGAGATTGTAAGTTTTAGGACCGTCTACTGGGAACGGGGAGATGAAGATGTAAATGCTAACTGATATATTCTGCCATAATAAATCACAAGATCATACTGGTGAACGTCTCTCGCGACAGGCTGCATAATTAATGACATAATCCCCGCTTATCTCGTTCCTAAGGGTAGCTTTTGGCTGTCGTATATCTTACTTCGGAGCGGTATCATCAGGTTTTCTCTAAAGCTATTTTTCGTGTTCTTGAATATTTAATTTTGAAAAGAATACATATAACTTTGCTGTCAAACCAAAATATATTGAGGATGATGATTTAGCGATATAAAAAAAACATTCTGAGGCATGTAACGATTAATTCCGTTGGAAAAAATAAACTCCACAAATGGAACTTTATTTGCATTTTAATTTAACAGAGTAATTGACTAGTTAGATTTCACCTAGCCTACGTTATTTCCCTGTAAGAACTGTTCCATCCTGAATAGGACAATATTTCATTTAGTATTCAATCAAGAAACAATGTTTCATCAGTAGCCTATTCCAAGGCAACACCAGTAAATCATTGCAACTGAGATGTTATATATCAAACTCTCCATGTTACTATACAAAATATACTTTACAGATTACAAGTGTTCATCGTGTACGGCTTACGCGTAATGGTAGAATAGCAGCATTGAGTTGAGCTGTGATAACAAATAACGCATTCACTTTCCTTATCAAATCCTGGAGGATCATCCGTCACTAGCATGCCGCGCCTTTACCCTCTCCTCACCCCTTCAGACTCTCTCTCTCTCTCTCTCTCTCTCTCTCAAACACACACACACACACACACAGGTCACCACACACTCACACTTGTATACATGTACGCCTCGCTGGCTACTAAGCAGATTGCCGAATTAGCATCACACAAATCACAGCACCACCTCACAATTTTGTACAACTCAAAAGCACATTATTTAGATGTGGATTCAGGCATAATAGACGAGATGGAACTAGAACAACTCGTTTTCTAAATTTTCTTAATGCTTTTTAATGTTTTTATAACTTATATATACTATATTCATGAGTAGTTATAAACAAGATAAAATTTAATATATATTAATAACATCTGTGTAAACTGTAACAATTTTAAAATTATCTTTTAAAATTTGTCCATCCATAGTATAGTAAAAAACCCCCATCACGTATCCAGCCGAACAGTATAAGTATTGTATGAATGTTGCTGTATATGAATGTGTCAGTGTTAAAATAACAAATTAATAAAAGCTTTATTATTATGGGTATTGCATTACCCAATTGATTTGAATTTTGTTTATCATGTGAAAAGGCAGTTGTGTGTGTGAGAGGGGTGGGGTTTTGAGTTGAAACGATGTGTAAACTCCTGTATTTAAAATAATCCTAATAGTTTAAAATTTAAAGATGTTCATTTTATTGTGTGTTAGGAAGATAGACTTTTGGATAGTTTATTCAAACTACACCAGGACCTATTAAAATGATATACTATATCAAAGAAATAAACTTCCTCACTCCAACATCGATAAATTGTAGCCTATCGTGTGTTTTCCATTTAGCCGCAGTTGTCTGGTGCCCATCAATAAATGGGAATCCCGTCGACTGCTAGCTGGTTCGTGCTCTCGTCGATGCTGCTGCCTACGTGACAACGATGCTGATTTTATTTGTTCCATATTACTTGTATTGCAGTTCCTATGTTGCATCACCATGTAGCAGGCATCATCCAATAGTTTAACATAGTCCATACGTATAAATTTAAACATTGAACCAGCCTTATTCGATGCTCTTATCATATTTTTCCTCTTTTTAGGAACGACTCTCAAGGCCAACTCATATTTTATTTTGTAAGTATCTCATTATTTATTGATTACCTAAGACATTTTAGCTGTACCTAAAACATACCAAACACATATGTAATTAGCAATTTCACTTATACAAAAACCTACTTTCATATATACCAACATTTTGGTGATCACAAGAACATTTAGCCTGAGCAATCAGAGCGTGGGTGGAGTGTGTGATTAGTTAGAATCCTGGTTGTAATTTGGCGGGATCGTTATGATCCGCGTAAAGTGTGGGACCGCAATTAAATGGGAACGCTGCGACGAAATGGAACGTCTCCGAGTCTTTCTTTATGAGGCGATCAGCCCGCGGGTCTTCCAAATAACACCTTCCTTCCCCGTCCCCACCACCAACCAGGAATTATATCGACTGTGGCTAGGTTCAGCGAAATATATTTGTAAATCTACATTATAATTTTAATGTAATGTGTGTGTTCAGCTGATAAATAAGCTGAATACTCTATTTATTATGTCAACCGTCAACACGACTCTCTGTAAAGGTGGACGCGGCGTTTATGGTTGCATTCAATTATAACTCATTCTCTTAAGTTTACCACCAACTAAGAAAGTGCCAATAAACAGAAATTTTTATTCATCATAGAATTGTAGACTGACAATGTACAACTGGTGTCTTTGGATTCTGTACTACATAATGTAGACTGACAATGTACAACTGGTACCTTTGGATTCTGTACTACATAATGTAGACTGACAATGTACAACTGGTACCTTTGGATTCTGTACTACATAATGTAGACTGACAATGTACAACTGGTATCGTTGGATTCTGTACTACATAATGTAGACTGACAATGTACAACTGGTATCTTTGGATTCTGTACTACATAATGTAGACTGACAATGTACAACTGGTACCTTCGGATTCTGCACTACGTAATGCCCTCTATACGTACCAGTTGAAGATAGTTTTAGCTTAAAGTTGCTGAACAGTTGGCAGAAAGTTTCCAATACCATTCTGGTAAAATTAAGGGACGGGGTGAAATTAATACTAGAAAATTGAATGTCTACTTGTCGGTAGTGTTTTAATATTAATGAACTGCATAGTATCTGTTTTAACAATCGTATGTAAAACTAAAAGGCATTACAAGTAATATTTCCACACTTTATAAGATTTAAAATCTAAATTAAACACTTCTTTATTTAATTTACTTCAAGAAAACGACGCGACGAATGTACAAAGACGCATAAATACATAACAAAACAGACTACTCCACTCAGTGCATTCTCGCTTCATTCTAAAGTTTAAACGAAACAACACGAAAAGTTTCTCAATGATTTCAATGAATATTAATTGCCTACCTTGCCTCTCATTATTTATTTAAAATGAATGCAAATTAAAGCCCCGATTCTAGTAAATAAAGTTCGATGGAAAAGTTTTAAATGAAAAGGTTTTTTATACAGAAGTTTGTCTCTGAAATTATTTAAATACCTACGTTTTGAATTGGAATACTTTGAGCTAACATCTGTAAACGATTAGGGTAGGTATATCGTAGTTGGTTTAACAACGTTTTATAATATTAATGTTTATTTTGAGACACATTCACGATTTATTCGCGCTTATGCTATACTTACATACCATTCGATTTAAAAATAGTATTCTGGATTTTTAAACTTTTATCCCTGTAAAGAAAAATAGGTAGTTGAGACGTTTTTTCCAGGAATGCATAAATACATTTATCAATAAATATATAACAGAAAAGAATCACTACGGAAAGAATGAAGCTATAAATTTAAAATTAAGTTTGAAAATCAGAGTCAGCCTTATTATAATCAGCAGTGATCCGTCAGAACCGTCTGCCCAGCACGGCTAGGCTGACCGATGTTACGACGGTATAAAATGACCGCGGCGCCGTTAACTAGTTTGATACCACCATCAATGTCGGCAGTATCCTCTGTTTAAGTGTTCTTCGACATTATATCGACATTTTTATTGTTTAAAGTTTCAAAACCCATTAAACTTTGTCGAACATTATTGCACCTTCATAAATTTATAAGAACCCAAAATCTGTTGTGACGTTATCCCTGTGATAAATATTAATTTATGGGCGAATGGATTTATTCTGTTGGTGTTTAAAATACGTATTTTTGTACATTTTCACCTTAAAAACGTTTCTGTCTTACATAAATATGTTGCACTTTATATGTTAGATTTCTTTGTATAAGTAGGGTAGTTATTTTTTCTATATTCTGTTTGTACAGTCATGGCGTATGACTTCTTTGAAAATTCTGTTGAGATTGTCTATTCCTTATTTGATCAGAAAATAGTGGAGTGTGTCCTCAGCCAATCTGACGTTGCTTTTCTAAATCGAATAATTCGTGAGATGTAACATCGGTAATGAATCACATCACTGGTGTTTTATTTTAGAAGACAATGACTCTGAACGAAAATTTTGAAACTTAAAATTATTAACACGTTTTTTTTTACTATAAGATTTATGGTTTGATTCATTTGTTTGCGAACGATTAAAGTCATATTTTGTCAACGTTTGTATACTTAATACTTAGTATTTTAGGCAAGTACTAGGTGCTTGGTACTATATGTGCGGAATTATTGATCTAACATCAATAAGTAAATAATTACGCCCTATGCTATATTCTATTTTTTTTTTATTTTTTTTGTATACCGATTACCCCAAATTTTGAAATTCCTAGCTTAGTATTTGTAGACTCCTTACTATGATACATTAACCCATAATGGTTAGTCCCAAACCTTTGCCTGGGGAAATTATTTTTGTAATTTTATATTTTAATGTGAGTTTAAAACGCTACGTCGTTTCACACTTCAGACGGTGTAAGTTTGTTTACTTATGAATATTCAGGACGACAGTCGTTCTCAAATGACTCGAAAACACTTCATAACTAAAATTATAATTCATGACAATTATTCAAAGAAAGAAAGGTTCCTATGAACATTTCTATATTTCTGATAAACATTGGGCAGATCTACCACAATTACAAACTGCTACAGTTACTAAACTAATTATATTCCTTCATAATATCAATACAATCATATAATTTAAACGACATTTAAAAAAATCTGACTAAAACTAAATTGCTGCAATATATAAATTTAGTTCTCTAAATTGCATGTTTGAAATTGTAATTGTACAACAAAAAGCTACAGAAGAGCAACGGGTACGGTTAGGTTGCTAACACAGGCCTGGACTAATTAAATTTACTAGGCTCGCAAACATATGCCCATCGGCAGACGCAATTGTTTTTCAGTCGATTAAAAAACACTCTTATGTACGAACTAACTATTCGGAAAACAAATCAATATGATCATTTTACATGGAGAGGCAAAACTATATATTAAAAACATATTGTCGTAAGGAACAACAAGTTTAATGTTTTGAGCACATGTCCAAAATCCCCAATATCTGTGATGACGACTGTGGGAAAGAGGACAGGCGCCGCGCCGGATGCAGCCCCGCCCGGCTGGAAGGTCTGGTCACTGATAATAAAAGTATAACAACAACGAAACCATGGCATTTAAATTTAAGATATGAAGAATTAACATTTATAAACTATCTAGTTCACTCACAAGTTAACCAAACTAAAAACAATTAATGTTACAGAAATCGTATTGTGATCTGAGCTTACCAATGACCTAACTTCGGACGAATATGGAGTTACTAACAACATGCCTGTTAACATACATTAACGTAAATACGAACTAATAAAGTGAATCTTTTTAAAGGAAACTTCGTACATGGTTTATTGTTTACACATTAAACCTTGAGGACATCAGTTTATCTATGCATCACTCATATTCATATTTAAGGCAAAAGTATGATAAGAATCTCGTCCCAAAGGGAAAGAGCTACTGCAGTATTATACACCGCATTATCGAAATAAAACCTAAGCATTTGAGTGACACGTCGGTAAAAACCCACGACTGAAGATAACTGCACCACTTTATGAGCAATTCTACGTCTTTACTGTTGCAATGTTCCATCGTAAATTGACTTTGTGTCCCTATTGTACTATTCCATCTATCCACCGTGAGAGCTATTGGCCTCATAAAAATCCATCTTATTTGCAAATAGCTGTTAAATGGTGAAGTTTACGTTGTTTATCAGACTTTAGGTTATTTATTTAGTATAAACCTCATGTTCTGAAACAATGCTAATCGTAAATGTGTGTATTGTTAGCATGTACAGTATATTGATCACACCGATGCCCACCACTGCAGTGTTCAACGCATGATAAAAGTGCTCGTAGTCCACGTAGGGTCCAGAACCTTGCACAGCGTCAGTTCTGTGGTCGGATGTAATTCGTTGCTGCCGGATCCACTTAGCGAGACTGGCAGTTGTGTAGAAGCGGTTGAATTGTTGGATCCTTTCATGAGTATTTTTTTTCTCTGAAAAGTGCCCGTAGTGCAATTTAACACAATAAGTTGAAGTGACATCAGATACTGTTGAGTTATTTAATTAAATTGTAATTTTTTTTTATTACAGTGTTCTTGAATAGTAAGAAAGATCTCCTTGCCTAGGAGTAGTTTCTTTTTTGATAAGTGCATCTAGAGATTGAGATGTACTGATGAAAACGGGTGACAGCATTAATTCATAGCTAAATTCCATTGATCGTTGGTAGGATTTAAATTAGATTTCGTCTGTTCTAACCAATAGACCAGCCGTACAGTCTTAAAAGAGTAAATATATTGTAAAAAGATCTCCAAATAGTTATACTAAATTACTGTAAAATTCTAAGATTCCTTGCATGATTGATATCCCACGAAAAATTTCACCAAAGCAAAGGTAGCATTTTATTTTCTCATGCAAATGTAAGTTCGCAAGTTGGTCAATCACATTTAAATCATGACATACTCTATTTAAACCAATTGGCTGGTTGGATAAAGATTTTTTACCCACGCGTTTTTTTTTATTATTTCTTCTTTATTTCACACATTTTGACATTATCTACGTAATTGTTACCTATATTTTCTACTGCTCGAATTACATTATGGTGTACAAAAACAT